GCATCAGAGGAGCCTTCCTGCTCCTCTGATGCTGCTTGGCCTGCTGTGTTCATCCAGCTCTACACCTTGTTATCTCAGATTCTCCAGCATCTGCAGTTCCTGTTATCTCTGGTTGTCTGACCTGTCCGGCGAACTCAATGGGTGCCGGTGAACGAAGTGGCTATCGCGATTGGTGTAGCTGCATGTCAATCATGGGGAAAAGGACAAAAGATGATCGGTCTCGAGCCCTGTCAGTCAGAGGTTGGCTGGGGGCGGGAAATACGAGAGCCGTTCGTCGATTGGATTTCAGACCGGTCACCGGGGCTAAGAGGACGGGGATTACGCGAACTGTATTGCATTTGGTTTAGAGGGCCGTCAATCAGAGGCTAATGGGCGGGTTTAACGTGATCCGCATTCTGATTGGACGGCTGTGGTCAGGCGTTCCCCGCCCCCAAAGTCTGTCAATGCGTCCAAGACACTAATTGAATCACACATCAGGGGTCCACAATCCCCTCCTTTTCGATCCCTAGGTCAATTTCACCAGTCTTCCTCTGTGTACGTAGAGTCATACCCCAGGGGAACAAGGTCTCATGGTTAAGCATTCTTTCTCATCATAGTCAGGACTGTTGGATATATAACGGGGAAACATGGGAACAGGTTTTTGTCGCCCCCTCCCCCCACTCCGGGGGTGGTGGCGGCGATAGCGCATATTAGGCGGGTCACAAGAATGCAGACTACAATTACAACAAGGATGGTCCCATAGTGGGTCAGGGTGCTCCACCAAGTCCCAAATGGCCATCACCACCCAGGCTCTGGGAGGGTTGAAGTTATGGAATTGCTCCCTTACCTCTTTTATTTTGCTGACAGCTTGCTGAACATGATCCGACGCGATACCCCACCCAAATAGTCCATGTACTGTAAACACCAGGATCCTCACTGTTTGTCCCCCGTGGGTGGACCTGTAACAGTGGTTCCGGATCCTGGTTTACAACGTGTCCCGTGAGTCCAGTCCGGCTTGCCTTGCACTTTGACAGCTGTGCGGGTCGTCAGTAGTACTTGATAGGGTCCTTTCCACTTCGGAGAGAGAGAGCCTTTTTTGAGTGATTGGATATACACAAAATCACCAGGTTTGAACGGATGCGTATTCCCTTCCTTGGGCTTTGGCAGTACCTCTAATACCTTCGCATGTTTGGACTAAGCTGCCTCACTCAGGTCCTGTGCATACTGCAGGGTTTTCTCATTGACCCATATTAGTGCTATGTTGGCCCCGGTCATCGGGGGCTTGGTGCCGGTGGTCATGGGTCTTCCCATTAAAACTTCAAATAGGTTCAGGCCTGTTGTTTCATTAAGTTGGTTTCTTAAGGTATACAGAGTGGTGGATAGGGCTTCAGGCCACTTCAATCCAGTCTCTTGGCATACTTTAGCCAGGGTATTTTTCAATGTCCCATTGATTCTTTCTGCCACCCCCGAGTACTGGGGTGATACGGTATGTGCACTTTCCATTTGAACCCTAATACCTGAGTCAGAGCCACTATCAACTTTCCTGTAAAGTGCGTCCCTCTATCACTATTTGTATTGTGGGATGATGTCTTTCATTAGACGTTTTACCGCTGTCCTGGCATCACCTTTTCTAGTAGCAAAAGCCTCTATCCATTTTGAAAACATTTCCACTATCACCAATATGTATTTGAATCCTCCAGAGGCCGGCATGTGCACAAAATCTGTCTGATTTGTCCAAAGGGTCCTGCCAGTACTGGCAAGTGGTCAAATTTGGCTGGGGTCTTCCCTCTATTATACTGTTGGCAAATACTACAAGTTTCAGTTACCTGTTGAATAGCAGTCATTATTCCTGGCGCTAACCATTGCTTATGTACCACACGGGCAAGTGCATGAGGAGACCTTTTGGGTGGACCACCCTGCCAACGGGGTGTCTCCATAGATTATCAGAATCCTGTAGACAACCATCCTGAACCCAGTTTACTTTTTCTTGTTCACTGGCCCCTTCCTGGGCCTGTACTGCAAACGCCAAATCAATGGCCTCAGGCAAATTTTGGCATACGAAAGATCAAACAACTGTTGCTCGGGATAGAGCAGCTATCTTAGTCACTTCGTCTGTGGCAGCATTGCCTAGCGAGTCTTCATCTTGTGCTTGTGTGTGCGCCTCGCACTTGATAATGGCTGGCCTACTGGAGAGAAGGACGGCTCGGGGCAAGTTACTTGTGAGGGTAGCATGCTGAATGGGCTTACCGGAGGAGGTGATAAATCCGCGGTGCTGCCACAAGGTCTCATAATTGTGCACCACTCCGAATGCACACTGTGAATCAGTGTAGATATTAGCAGTCTGACCCCCAGCGAGAATAAAAGTGCGGGTGAGTGCGAACAGCTCGGCTGCTTGCGCGGAGGTGCCGGGGGCAGAGCAAAGGCTTCCAGTATTTCAAAAGGGGTGACGACTGCATACCCAGCCAGTGTGGCGGTGTCATAAGGCCGGTATGAGGAACCATCGGTGAAAAGCACCAAATCCGGATTGTCCAGGGTGTGGATTGTAAGTCAGGGCGGGGAGACGTGACAGAATCAAGCAGTCGTGCTCATTTTCGTCTGTCTCACCACTGTCAGGGAGAAGGGTGGTGGGTACTACAATCTGGCTGATGGCGTGTAGGTCCTGGACAAAGCGCCACTCGTCCTTCCATCCAGGCTTTGGGATAGGTAGTATGGGAGTGTTGCAGGGGCTGTGGGTAGGGCACAAAATGCCCTGAGCGAGTGGTGCCTCGATGACCGGCCTTATCCCCTCGTCTGCCTCTTCTTTGACAAACTGTACCGTTTAATAGAGGGTACGGCAGCCCCAGCCTGAACATTCACCCGATGTGGCGGGGCCCAGGAGACCAGGCCAACATGGTTCATGTGCAGTGCCCACAGGGAGAAAGGGACAGTCTGCAGGGGG